AACCACAGAAGCAGCAACAGCAAATAATACAACTTGACATTAAACCACAAAATTTACCACCTCCTCCGCCACCGCCACCACAATATGAAGAAGCTACGAAGCAACTAGCTGCTAAAGCCAACACATTTACGTCGCCACTTAACATCAAAATTAAGGAAGAACCTAACGCAAGTACAGCGACAGTAACAACACAAACGACAAGAAAAAATAAAAATAATGTTAAATCTGAAAAATTAACAGAGGTCTTGGATGTACTAATTAAACAGGGTGAGTTACCGGAGAGTGCTTTGGAGCCCATCACACCGATAACTCCATTAACACCAACTGGTACCAACACACTTATGACTGACTTAAGTGGGAATATAATATTCACTACTACTAATACCTGTAACGAACCCAATGAAACATTGGCAGCAACAGGCAGACTTGTACCGAAATTGGAGCCACAAACAACTTTACTGGACGAACAAGTAAACAGTCCAACTTTAGTACTTCCAATGGATACTACAAGTAATGATCAACAGTTACATAATGCAGGCAATGTTTTCCATATGTTCGGTAGTGGCAGCACTAGTGGCAATAGTAATAGTAACAACGCTTCTAATGGTGTCAGCCACAATTACGCTGGCATAAATACGCCAATTCACTCATCGCCTGCTAACAATTTTATTGAAAATATAGATATGACCTCACCATTACAACCTGACTGTCATATTGATGCAGAAAGTGTGGCCAAGTCATTCGATGTGTTTCTAGAGCAACATCACTCTGTTTCATCCCCAACGCATTCAATGCAGTCACCTACACATCATGATTTACTTTGCAAATCCTCTAGCCTTTCCACATCCGAAAAATCATTTGGTCACATAAGCCCAGATACAAAATTGCAGCACCATTTCGATGAATACGAGCTATTGGAACTTATGTCACAACAACTCGAAATGGACATCAGTGATGAGACAACAAACTTTGTCACCGCTAGCAGCAACAGTCGAAATAATACACATCAGTTGCTCCATTCCAATGATACAAAATCAAATAATAATTCCACATTGAATGGTTTACGACGCGATATGAATCCAAGTCTACAACCTTCAATAAATGAACTTATACAACATCACCAGCAACAACAGCATCAACAACAGCAGCACCAACAACAACAGCAACAGCAGCAGCAGCAGCAGCAGGGTCAACAACAGCAACTGATCCAACAAAACAATAACAATCGCACTTGTAATGCTGGTGGTGATGTAGCCATAAATAATAATCACTCTATATCAGATGCTGATTTTGATGCTGATAGTTTTGTGGAACAATTAACTCAAAATCACAACAATATGAACAATAACCTCGACAACAATATAATCAGCAACAATGCACCTAGCATGGGTATTAGCAATAGCAGCACCAACAATAGTAGCATGGGTAGCAGTAATAGTAACAGCAATAATCCATATACAAACGATACACCAATGGATGTTTGTGATGATTTCGATAATCCATTGGGTAGTTTCAGCTTTTCTGCGTTATCGCCAGACTCCAATATAAATACACCACCCCATCCATTTGGTACTGGACTAAGTAGTGTCAGTGGTAGTGGTAGTGGCAGTAGTAACTCCACTTGTGGGTTGCAAGCTGTGATTGGTGGTGCACAGCCACAATCGAGTTCACATGAACAAATGTCGATTTGTGGTGGTGCTGGAAGTGGTGTGAGCGGAAGCGGAGTGGATGGCAATAGTGTAGATGCTTTCAGTGCTAGTGGCGATATTTTTGATTTCTTTAATATTGACGATTATAAAATGTCATGGGGTGAGGGTGATTTTGCAGTTTAAATGGTTAGGTGTGGTAAGGTATGGTTAGGTGGGTGAGCAAAAAAATAAAGAATTTGCGATGAATAAGGATGAGCGAAAGGAAATGCATGAATTGCATAAATTACTTTACAAAAATCAATATTGAAAGTTGCAAGTAGTTGCAAAATATAAATACTCGTAGCAGTGAAAAAGGTGAATAAGTAAAATAATATTGGAAATTATAGCTCGAGAATGGATAAGAGTAAGAATTTGAAAGTCGGTCATTAGTAAGTGGTTTATTATGAACGATTTGTCTGCTATAGATTTTGAGAGTAAGTTCTTTAAAAATTTCATATTATAAATATAAATATAAAAATATGGGTATACACTTTAAAGTTCATAAAATGCATTTAAAAAATTATTTAGAAAAATTCGTTAATGTAGTAAATTTAAATTTTTAATTTGTACAGTTGCATGGAAACGATTCGGATTAGTTCTGTTGATGTTATATTTAAATGCTTGAATTTAGTTTCTTTCAATTTATTTGAAATTGTTGCTTCAACTAATTGAAATTTTATTTTTTTTTCTAAGAACTTTCTTGTTTATTCTAATAATTTTTTTTTTATCTACATTGCTTTTAGTTTCTGAGAACAATAATTGTTGAAAAAATAAACCTAGTTTGTTGTTTAAAAAACTGACTTGTTTTTCTCTGTTCAAAGAACTCTCTGCTTAGTTTTCAAAGTAGACCATTTGCAATTTTTTTTAAAATCTTACGTTACATTTTTTATTTTTTCCAACAACCGTGTTCTTTGTTCTAAGCACTTTGTTCTTTGTTAAAAGAACATTGTAATTTGTTCTAAAACTTTATTCTTTGTGCAAAGGATTTTGTTCTTTGCTATAAGAATTCTGTTTGTAGTTTTTATAATGGAATATTTGTATAAATTTTTTTTTAAATTATATGTCATCATTGTTCCTCGATAATTCGTTTATAACAAAATTCAATATAAACAAGTATTCGTAATTATGAAAATAATCAATAAATCAACGTAATTTCTTATTCAACAGAAGAATTGAAATAATGTAATCGAAAGAAATTTTTTTAAAAACATCATTCCAAAAAAAAATGAAAAAAATAAAAATTGAGGTATGAAAAGGAATAAAAATTGCTTGGGAGTGAGGTTTGAGTATTTGAAAAGATTTAATTCAGATATGTTTGTGTGATGGAAAGATTTAAACTGCAAAATTATGGACGTAATAATATATATATAAATAAACTTAAAAGCATGTTCTAAATATATTTATTTTAGAGTATACGGTACAGGCTGCAAATGAAGAGTGTTAATCCCAGATATAAAAAATCTATTGCCTAGCCAAGACATTAAATGAAAAAAGAGAAATTGATTTATAATAACAAATTATGGTAATTTTCCTTACTTGTCAAAAACGGGATTAACACTTTATATTGGCAGTGTATGTTACATATTTTAGCTTAAAATTTTTGAAATAATTATGAGCATATTATGAAAGGACATTAATACATTCATTATATAAATATTTAGTATATTTTTATAAGTCTAGCGCAAGTAATAAAAACAAATTATACACAAAAAAAAAATGTAAGAAAAATGTTTTACTTAATTCAAATGTATGAAAGAAAATTAAATATTATTTTATAAATTTATGTTTAATTTAAGTTAATGAAATTAATACACTTTAATAATAATTAACAATAATTAACTATAATTAAATAAAAAAAAATGTAATACATTTAGAAAAAAGAGAAGTATTTCCTCAGAGGAAAGAAAAGGCCTTTATTTGATTTAAATTTTACCAACACTGATTCGATATTAGTTCTTGAAAATATGAGAAAAATAATTCAAAATAATATATATTTTTACTTATGTGAAAAAAAAATGAAAGTAAAGTATCATTCTATTAATTAAAATTAGTTTTAAATTTATAAGAGGAAAAATTATATCAATATGAATATTGAAATAAAAACAACCTAAGCAAATTAAAAAGATTTAAACATATAATTCCGTTTTTAATTTTAATAATTATTAATTTAAATAAATTAAGATTTTATTTGTTGATTTTTATTAATTATGAATTAATTACAAAATTTATTAATAAAATTTATTTTAAAATTATATTTAAAATTAAAATATATAAAAAGTATAAAAATTAATATAAAATTTTTGCAAATTTCACTTGTCACTTGCTTTTATCTTAATTCAATATATAATAATTAATCTCTATAGTATAGCATTATTACTAAAAGTTGTACTTAATTAATTTAAGATATATCAATAACGATATTAATTAAAGTCAATTGTACTTTTCAACATTCATAATAACATATACAATTGCAAATTTATATTTTGTAATACATAAATAAATAGTAAATATTTTTTTATTAATATTTTTAAGAATTTTTCTCAATATTATTGTAATTATAATATGCTCAGCATGATATATAAAAATAATATTTTAAAACATATTTAAGAGTTATACTCTAAATTATACAATTTATTGCTTACGAATAATTATTATATTGAAAAGAAAAAAAATATAAATTTTACAAAATTACTTTAATTATTTTGCTTAATGCAATATGTTACGTTTTACTTAAATAATTATAAATTTTAATTGTTTTAATTTACTGTAGTTTTATATAGATATTAGTTTATATGATTATTGATTGATTACATCTATTTTATTAACACTTGTTTAACATTTGCATTAACATATTTTAAATTATAATACCACAAAATGTATACATTTTATATACATAATAAAATCTTTATATATGCTAAAAAAATTATTTTGTTTTAATATCTTAAAAATATACGTTTTTAATATTTTTGTATATATCGTATTTGAGAGCTATTGTAGTTTTCGAACCGTATATATGGGTTATGAGTAGTTGTGGGTAATGTAAGAGGGAAGACGATTGTGTAGAAGTAAGAACGGATTGAAGATAGTTGTGACTTAAGCTGAAGTCAATCAGAGTCGAGGCGGATAAACTTAGCTACTTCAATGACGCGTTTCCAAAGATCGATAAGCTTTAAGCTAGTGTGTGTTTTGAAACATGAAAGCAGTTGGGCGACATCATGGAGAGTGGACCTACATTTAGGGCACATATTGGGAATTGACATAATTATGCCTGACAAGTCACTATTTAGCATATGCTCTGATCTCAATTGAGTTATAACAGTTTTTGATGCACGTGGAAAACGTCGCATTTCTTGGGAGATACTAAGCGGGGTTAAGAATTTATTATTTATTTTTATTTAATCCTTTTATTCCTAGGTGGAACAGAGGGCCGTAACAAATAGTTTCCATTGAACTCTATCTAATGCAAGACGTTTTGTTTCACTCCAGCTCTTTCCAGCATTTCTTAATTCGGCTTCAGTTTGTCGTTTCCAAGTGTTGCGCGGACGCCCTGGTCTTCTACTGCCTTGAGGGTTGAAATCTAAGACATTTCTTGCGATATCATCAGCGGGTTTTCTTAACGTGTGGCCAAGCCATTTGTATTTACGCATCATTATTTCATCAGTTATAAGAGGCTGATTCGTTCTAAACCAGAGCTCATTATTGGTTATGGTTGCTGGCCAGAATACATGAAGGATGCGTCGTAGACAACGATTGGCAAAGGCTTGTAGCTGTTGTGCGTCTCTTGCCGTTAGGTTCCAACTCTCACTACCATATAGTAAAGTTGATTTTACGTTTGCATTGTACAGGTGTATCTTAGTGCGTTGTGTGATGTTGGATGAACGCCAGATTTTGTTAAGGGTTCCAAACGCTTGCTTCGCTTTCGATAGCCTGTACTGTATGTCTTGCCGACTGCCGCCGTTGTTCGAAATGTAGCTTCCCAGATAGCAGAAACTTTGTACATCTTCGATGTAGGAGCCATCTAGTTGAAACTTCGTTAAGCAGTTTGAATTGAGACGCATAGACTTGGTTTTGTTGATATTGATTGACAGACCAGCTGCCAATGCACGCTTTGCGATGTTGTTTAACGATATTTGCATCTGGGAAAAGTTATGCGTTAGTAAACAGATGTCATCAGCGTAATCGAGGTCAGTAAGTTTGTTATGAAGGCCGAATGATATGCCATGATTTGTGCTCATAGCTTCCGACATAACCACATCTAAGACTATATTAAATAGTATAGGTGAAAGAATGTAACCTTGTCGGACGCCAGACTTAATTTGGATTTGCCCGCTGAGACGCCCTTCGTGAAGTACTGAGCAGTGCGCGTCAGAGTACAAGCCTTTTACTAAATTTATTAATTTACTCGGTATACCTTTACACTCTAATGCATACCAGATGGTGGTATGGAGAAGTGTATCGAATGCACGTTTAAAGTCGATAAACAGCAAGTATAGGGGAGATCGCCATTCGCTAGACTGTTCGACTATTATTCGAAGGCTGTTTATGTGGTCGGCACATGATCGATTATGCCTAAATCCTGCTTGCTCGGCTCGTAGTGTAGGCTCAGCGGCCGAAGTTAAACGTTTATGTAAGATTTGAGCAATAACTTTATAAGCTACATTTAGTAAAGTTATGCCTCTCCAGTTGGAGCATTCCATCAGGTTACCTTTCTTTGGTATATTAATAATGATGCCGTCTTTAAGATTAGGCGGTAATGACTCTTGGGACCAGAAGTTGTTGACAATTGGTTGAATAATTTGAGCAGCTGAAATTTTGTCTGCTTTGAGCAGTTCGGGGGCAATATTGTCCGGACCAGCGGACTTACCTGCTTTAAGCTGAGTTATTGCTGCCTCAATTTCACTGATGTTAGGTACATCTGTGTTTATATCGTTGCGAGCAACATGTTCGTGGTGTCTACTACATAGTTCCTGCTGAGGATAGGTGTTGTTTCCCGCTAGGAGATTTCTGTAGTGATCTTCCCAAACTTTTAGCTGATCTTCGGTAGAGTGTACTAGTTCGCCTCTGGTATTTTTTATTGGCTTTGCAATCCTGTGTTTACGTCCCACCATAGCTTTAGTGATGTTGTGTAGGTCTTTGAGCCTATGTGATTCGCTTGCTTTTTGAGCTTCTGTTGCTAAATTGTCGAGCCATCTGCGCTTATCGGCTCTAGCGCTGCGTTTAACTTTGCGGTTGGCAATACTGTAGTTGGCTTGTGCCTGCTGCTTTGTTTGGCGCGTTCTTGCCCTGTTAACCTTTTCTTTTTCTCCTTTGCGCGCTTTTATAAGATTCCATGTATGTTCGGTGATCCACGGATTATTTTGACGTTGAGGAATACCGACACTTTGTTGTGCTGCTTCAGTGAAGGCACATTTTGCTTGTTCCCAATAAGTTTCGGCTTCAAAGATTTCTTCTTCTAGTGGCAAGGGATTAGGGATTTGGGCCGATAAAAGAGA